AATCAATACAAGATATTATGAAAACTTGTAAAATAACTTTTCAAAGATAAGTCTTAAGAGAAAGAGCTTACAAAGAAGCAACGTGAGCCTATTGCAATAGATAATTATAGTTCTTCTCTTTATGCAGTCCTCGTTATATAGACATCTTTGAAAAATAGTTGTTAGTCATAATTTTTGACTTTCTTCTAAAGGTGTGACCTTTAAGGTAGAGTCAAAAGCTATTTGACATTTTGGTAGAGCAGTTGTGTTGTGTGTACGGAAAGAACAAGCAGAAAACATGTATGAAATATTCTTTGAAGATCTTCTTATCTCTTAATGTTGTTATGATTCTAAGGAGACTTTTTGATAAAGGTGAAAATTTATACAAAAAAACAGAGCACAACACAACAGACAAATAAGTACTAAAAAATATATGCTTTAAAGCGTTAGACGATTCTAAGTGTTTAGGCATAATTCAAGTACTATCATTTAACATTATCTGTTTGAACAATATGATGTCGTTTAGGAAAACAAGTTATAACGTTTAGCGTTGTTTTAAACTTGTGTTAGACACTTTTTATATTCGACACTATGGTATAACTCCTTATACTGTTTGGTGTTTATCCTAGGCGGTCAAACACACGTTAGACACTATTTTAGTTAAACACTTTTATATATTTATTGTAGATGATTAAACCTTATTTTATTTAAACATTTTGTTAAACTTTAAAATAATGTTTCATTAGACAATTTTGTCTTTAAAAAATTCTATATCATGATTTTGAAATTTATAAAAACAATAGTGTGTCACGTGATTTTATTAACGTTTCTTTTATAATGATGTGGCAATTTGTAAGTTTTTAATTTTAGATCTTTGAAATTAAAATAGTTACAGGCTGAGAGAACGGAGAAGGTGTTCTTAAGCATAATTATAGCTATGCAATAAGAAAATGTGAAAGAAGTGTGGCTGAAACGTGAAGCAAGGTAAGAATTGAGAGTGCAGAGTTACACGTCTTGCTGAGTCATGCAGTGTCCTGTTTGGATAGGGATATGTGGCAGAGAAAACTAAAACCATTTAATTTAAGCACTTTTTTATGACGTACTTATCTTGACCATAATAACTTTCCTTAAAGAAGAAACAACACAGTGTCATACCTCTTTCATCCCAATCATTGCTTCTCACAACTGCTTCTCTCCAAAATGTCCAACAATCACACACATCAATTTTCTTAAATCTAATCCAAATTCTTAAAAGATGTTGATGCTATTTTAACAATTGTGGTTAGATTTATTACATACCTACTGTCAAGTTGTTATTAAATCACTTTCATATGTTTAATCTATTTATAAAAATATGTTTTGTCTCTATGATGCATTATTTAGTCCTTTTATTTTATTATGAAACTCAATAAAGGACATATATAGTGTTTTTTATGTTACAGACCAAGTTTCATAATAGATTATGACATAGTCTCCACATGAAATACACAAATTAAATATTTTATAATTTATTTTTTGGACAAAATAAAATAAAAGGCATATTTGTTATTTTTTAAAGTGTTATATTTAAATTGGTGGACGAGTATAATCATACTCAGAATTTAAAGTAATGATTTATATTCATTTTTATTTTATGATTTTTTTTTCATTTTTATTATAGTTAAATTTCAATATGCTTTCATCAATTCATGTGTTGTTTAATAATTTATGGATTAAATAATCTTTATAAACTTTTACGAAATTTGTCTATATTTAAAATTTTGATAAATTTTTATTTTTAAATTTTAAATATAATAAATATATTTCTTTTAATCTAATTACATATCTTTTGATATTAAAATCAAAATATATCAAACAGTGTAAACAACTTAAATATTAATTTGAAATCATTAATATTAAAATAAAAACTTGTTAGATAGTGTCAACAACTCAAATATTATTATGAAACATGTTTGACACATTAATATAATTTAACGTAATTGAACTAAAAAAATATATTATTTATTTTTAAAATTTGAAGATAAAAGTGTATCAAAATTTTAAATAGATAAGAATTCAAATTTTATGTCAAAGTTTAAAACCTAAACACATATTTAAAGTTTAATAAGTATATATATTTTCTTTTTAATGTCAAATATTAAAGAAAAAAAATTAAATAATCTCAAAATAAATTAGTTCACAACAATAATTGTTTTTTAGTTATAAAAAACAGTTAGACATAATTAAAATTCAATCATAACTACTGTCCTTTTTCTAATGTCAAAAGTATATTGGAGATATAAGTGAACTCGTAAATATTGAATGAATCAAAGAAAATTAAAAATTGTACCATAAAATAAGGATTACACATACGAAACAAAACTAATATAAAAAAGAAATAAAAAAGTACTTTGTTACTTAATAAATTAAGAATTTACACAATTAAATACTCAAAACTTTGTAGTAAGACTTTATTGAGTTCAAAAAAATAGAAAAAACAAATAAAAATATTAAAAATGAGTATAAATAAATTAAATGTGTGTTCTAAAAGTAATTTAATTCTTTAAAATTTAGATTTGTGTTTGATAAGATACATTATATAATCTAAACAAAGCTACATAAACAATCAAAATTATAATAATGAAAATATATCTTAAATAAGTAAGACAATGGAAAGAAATTAGAAATTTGTAAAAAAAAAAGGTTCAAATGAAATCAACGAAAATTAATAAAAATAAGTATTTTAGATTACTTAATAAACTAAATGTTTTATTAATTTAAAATGAAACAAAGACAAAATTAATATGTATATACATATCTCCATATTCTAATTCTATTAAAAAAGATGAGATGTTACGCATACTCATATATCTTATTTGTTATTAAAAGTATTTATCATCGGAGTCAAAGACAAATTCAAACTCTATTGACAAAGTATAAATTTATTTATTATCATAGTTTAAACCTAAATTAAAAGATATTATATAATATGTAATAATTTTTATAATCTTCATAAATTTTGAAGTAATAAATATTAAAGAATATATTAGGAAATATATTTGTAGAATTTTGATTATGTAAATGAGGAGGATCTTGACGAAGCCTTGGTGGGTATGTAGTTAAGAGGTGTCTAGCAAAGTTTTTTGTCCTTGAAGGTTTTTCTTTTTGGATAAGGAAAGTGAAATTGAATGTCTTCATCAACATTCATAAAAGACCATCATTCAAAGGATTAACCTTACCTACCAAGGACATACTTCAATAATCCCTCTCAAATATTTCTTCACTTTCTATCCAAATCTATTCAAAAATACTATTTTAATATGCTTTTATATCTATTAATACTTTGAATTTTGAACAAAGTATATATGCAACCTTCTTCAATTAATTTCATAGAACTATATTAAAATAATATTTTTACTTATAGTTAAAATTATGCCTGTGATTTTATATAAAGATAGTTAAATAAGAGGAATAATAAGAATTAATGGAATGATTAATTTTTAAATATAATATATATAGATCTGAATCTAAATAAAAAAATATCTGAATTATCTCGTGTCAGCTTTGTGTTATCAGCAGTTAACCGTGAATCACCAGTCTAAAACTCCTCCCTTACACAAGCAACAAAGTACAACGATGAAATCCTAATCGTGTTACCATTGTTCAAAAATGAATCTGCACTTAGCCACCAAAACATTCTCAATTTCATTTTAATTAAATTTTACAAATTTTTTAATGTTTGATATCAAAATCCACATAACTCTCCACTTAAAATACCCTAAGTATGTTACGTATTTTAATTAAATCACATCACCCTTCCACGTTAATCAATCTTTAACCACTCAATTATATCAAATTTTCACAATTAGAAACATAATTGAGATAAAAATAACTAAGAGATCAATTTGAGATAAATCACCAGAAATATGGACCTATCGAAATAATTAAATTTAAAATTTTCAACAACAAACTAAATTGTCCATTTTAACCTTCCTAATCTTACCAATTCATATTCTTATATTTTACATGTACAAGTTTTAGTATTGCTCCTTAGAATTAGAAGAAGTACGTTAATATATACATCTTTAAAAATACATAAACTAAATAATATGATGTTTTCACCTTTTGAAATATATAGAAACAACATTTTACTTTAATTTTAATGAAACACAACAATATCTCACATGCAAATTCTTATAAATAATCGCCTTAAAAAAACACACTCACCCTTTTTTTTAGTTCGAAAATCACATACATGGATTACAATTATTTTCTTTTCAGCAATTCCATCGTTCAAACCTCGTATATTATGTATGGAAATTTCGTTTTAAATAATTTTGCTTCAGTTTTTGGTAAATGTTACAACATGGAGAGTATCAACAATAGCAAATTTTTATGTTACTGGAACAATTTTTTTTCTTGCATTATTTGTATCCTAATTAAGGATTACACACACATATATAAATTACTCTTTCTTTTCTTTACTATAAGGTATACGTTTAAAAAATAGTTATTGTTTGTAAAATATATTATATTTGTACGAAATATTAAATTTATTTTCCTTGTTAGTCCTATTAAATAGTATAAATATGCATGGTTTATTAATAAATAATAATAAAATTTAAAAGTTTGTATTAAGGATATTAAGTTTAGTATTGATAATGTTATTTTAAAAATTTAACAAAATAACTTTATACTGAGTAAATGTGATTATTTAAATCTGAAGATACTGTGATATACTTTTACATACATATTATATAAAGGTAAAATGATTTAAAAAATATAAAATTTTTTATTTTTTTTTAAGAAAAAAGAGAGTAAAAAATTAGTAGAAATAGTTGAAATGAATTATAAAATATTTAGGTATTTAAAAGACATTTTTCTTGGAAACATATATATAAATTATTACCATAATATTAATTTATTAATCAATTTATAGATTACTAGAAGATAGAGTAATAATTGTTTGTGTGAAAGCGTGCCAAAATCGATTATGAGAAGAATAATAAATAGAAATGAAAAATGATGAAGAGAAATGACAAAGACATGAACAGGAAGAAATGGACCGAAAAGAGGAGAAGGAAGAAATTTGAAGAAACAGCAAAGAAAAATTTCTATTTTGATGCCTTCTCTTTTACTGTATGTAATGTGAGCCATGTCACTTCCCATCACCTACCACTGATAATTCCATGCCTTCTTATTAGCCCCACCATTTGCCTCTCCTCAGAATTTCATGTGCCTCTTGTGTTCTTCAATTCCCTCCAATTTCACCACAGGGTGTGATTAGTGCCTTTGCTGTGACCTCCTCCTTCATTTGGTCCAGTGAGGGGAGGGGGTCTCAGAAGTTCCATTTCAGAAACAGACACCCTTTTGATCATTTCCGAAAACCCAGAAAGCAAAAGCTAACATTGGTAGGATTTTGACAATGGATGTGAAGTTTTGGTGCTACAATGGCTTCACACCCAAAAGGGTTTTGGAAGCTTGAAAGATCTAGTGTTTAACTTGCTTCAGGGTCTGAAAAGTAGCTGGGGACAAATCTTGAAGGATTTGAGTTGTGAAGAGGTACTCATCGATCCTTTTCAGCTCCAAAGACTTGTTTTTGCCTGTTTTTTGCCTAGTATGTAAGAAAGTTTTTGCAATGTTGACGGTAACAAACGAAGATATGTATGGTTCCTTTTTTGTTGTTTTCTCATTGGCCCGCTTGCAACGTGACTCAATTATTTTTGGGTTTGCTGAATTTTGAAATTTTAGTGGGCTTTTGTCTTCCCGAGTACTGAGAGAATAAAGTCCGGTCCTTCTCGCTTACTTTGTTTTCAGTGTTCTAAAAAACATTTTTCTTTGTTTTTATGCTCTTTTGGCTTCTTACGATTTCGTATTTTGCAATAAGTTTGAAATCAAAGGCTTTTCTCCGCTTCATATGTGCTTCATTTACTAGGGATGTGAATAATACACCAAAATGCTGCGTTTATTTTTCCAAAAAATTTCCAATTTATTTATTTATTCTGGGAAATGAACTCCTGTTAGTATGTAACCAGGTTTTGTTTTCCCAGTTACTTGTGTATATGCTGGCAAAGATAGTTCAGTTTGCTGCTGACATTTTTTAAGGTGGATGTGCAATTAACTTTCTCAAATCTGGTGATTTGCGGAATCAAGTTGAACAATTTGGTGTCATAATTCAAGTTAATCAAATGTTTTACTTCTTGCTACATGATTTTCTGTGTGCATGTTAGTACCCTCATATATTTTAACTCTGACTCATGCAGTTTGTTTAGCAGCAAAATGGCATCTGATCTGAGTTCGGGGTTGTCCAAGAAAACTTTTGTATTTGGTTTGAAAGTGTGGGTACTAATGGGAATACTAGTTGGGTTATTCATCATAATCATTCTTGTGGTGCTATCAATATGTCTCACTTTAAGAAAGAAGTTCAGAAGAGTCAAAGGTAAGCTTCCACTCAGCCATGTGTTAGCTGTTTCAGAAGAGATCAAAGAAATTAGAGTTGATCAAGTTTCAGCAAATAATCATCCACAGAATGGTACTTTTATGAGTCTGAATGACAAATTTGGTGAAGGGGAGACTGAAAAGGTTTTGAACCAAACACAGAATGGGGACAATAGTAGTCAATCAGGCTCCTTTAATCATTTAGAACAAGATGGTAATGGCTCTCAATCAGGTGAAGAAAGTGGTGCTAAGGGAATTGCTTCTTATAGGTCTTCTTTGCATCCTATAACCGCACCATCCCCTTTGTCTGGTCTGCCGGAATTCTCACAGCTTGGCTGGGGCCACTGGTTTACATTAAGGGACCTAGAACTTGCTACAAACAGATTTTCAAAAGAAAATGTTATTGGGGAAGGTGGATATGGAATTGTTTATCGTGGTCAATTAATCAATGGGAGTCCTGTGGCCATAAAGAAGCTACTCAATAATTTGTAANTGCTGGCAAAGATAGTTCAGTTTGCTGCTGACATTTTTTAAGGTGGATGTGCAATTAACTTTCTCAAATCTGGTGATTTGCGGAATCAAGTTGAACAATTTGGTGTCATAATTCAAGTTAATCAAATGTTTTACTTCTTGCTACATGATTTTCTGTGTGCATGTTAGTACCCTCATATATTTTAACTCTGACTCATGCAGTTTGTTTAGCAGCAAAATGGCATCTGATCTGAGTTCGGGGTTGTCCAAGAAAACTTTTGTATTTGGTTTGAAAGTGTGGGTACTAATGGGAATACTAGTTGGGTTATTCATCATAATCATTCTTGTGGTGCTATCAATATGTCTCACTTTAAGAAAGAAGTTCAGAAGAGTCAAAGGTAAGCTTCCACTCAGCCATGTGTTAGCTGTTTCAGAAGAGATCAAAGAAATTAGAGTTGATCAAGTTTCAGCAAATAATCATCCACAGAATGGTACTTTTATGAGTCTGAATGACAAATTTGGTGAAGGGGAGACTGAAAAGGTTTTGAACCAAACACAGAATGGGGACAATAGTAGTCAATCAGGCTCCTTTAATCATTTAGAACAAGATGGTAATGGCTCTCAATCAGGTGAAGAAAGTGGTGCTAAGGGAATTGCTTCTTATAGGTCTTCTTTGCATCCTATAACCGCACCATCCCCTTTGTCTGGTCTGCCGGAATTCTCACAGCTTGGCTGGGGCCACTGGTTTACATTAAGGGACCTAGAACTTGCTACAAACAGATTTTCAAAAGAAAATGTTATTGGGGAAGGTGGATATGGAATTGTTTATCGTGGTCAATTAATCAATGGGAGTCCTGTGGCCATAAAGAAGCTACTCAATAATTTGTAAGTTATTTTATTATCATGTTTTGTTGCATTGCAGCCGTTCTGTTCATTTTAATTTTAGATTAGTTTATACAATGTCATGTTTCATGTTTTGTTAGATCTTGTTTATCTCACAACTGTTGATATCCATCATGCAGAGGACAAGCTGAAAAGGAATTCAGAGTGGAGGTTGAGGCTATTGGTCATGTGCGGCATAAGAACTTAGTACGACTTTTGGGCTACTGCATTGAAGGCACACATAGGTAACAGATTCTTTAATGTTTGCACATTATGTGTGTTTGACTGTTTGATTCTCTACTCGATTTGATCATTTGACCGACAGCTTAAATGCTTACTGTTTGATATCTCCATTATTCTGATTTACAAATCTATTAGATGTTTGAAAAATTATGGCCATAAGTTTTTTCTTGGATGAAAATTCTTCGTAATTGACATATTTCTCTCTATATCACAGTTTGCATATTCTTATTAGTACTAAGTACTGTTTTATATTATCTGTAGATTTTATTGAACCTGCTAATAATTTCAGGTTGTTGATATATGAGTATGTTAACAATGGCAATTTAGAGCAGTGGCTTCATGGGGCCATGCGGCAGCATGGTTTTCTTACTTGGGATGCTCGGATAAAAATTCTCCTTGGAACAGCCAAAGCGTATGCTCATCTGTTCCTGAAAACAAATTAATCTACTAATTGTCTTCAGCTTCATTGTCTTTTATACGAGTTTCCTTTTGATCTCTGATTATCTTGTAGGCTGGCTTATTTGCACGAGGCAATTGAGCCAAAAGTTGTGCATAGAGATATTAAGTCGAGCAATATTCTAATTGATGAGGACTTTAATTCCAAAATATCTGACTTTGGGCTGGCTAAGTTACTTGGTGCTGGAAAAAGTCATATTACAACCAGAGTTATGGGCACTTTTGGGTAAGCTTCTCGTTTACAAATTAGGACTTTTTTGTTTTGTTTTGTGTAAAAGTTAGTTTCTTTATAAATGTTTAGTTAGGCATGGTGATGTTGACAACACAACTAAGTACAATCTATTCTTTTTATTATATTATTAATTTGAGTAAATTATATTATTAACTTTTATGGTTTGGCTGAAGGTTTAGATTTACATTCCAGGAATTTAACACCATTTCCAAAAGCAAGCACAATCTTTGGTTCAATTTTGCTCAGTGATCTCATGCATGTAGTCTAATCATGATTAGAACATATACATTGTAAGATAGTCCATTTTTCTTAAAGAATTTATGACGGTTTTGTCAAAAAACAGCAGATAATCATTTAAACGCAAAATTGTCATAGTCTAGTATATGCTTGCATTTAATTTTTCAGATATGTTGCACCAGAATCTGCCAATTATGGCGAGTGACCTCAAATTTTAAGAAACACCATCTCACAGCAATCTCATTCGCACTCTAAATTTGATTAATCATTATTTTTTCTTTGCACTTGATATTACAGAAACTGAAACTGTCGCTAACTTATTCTTCTTTTCTTGTTTGCATTGCATTTTCCCAGATATGTAGCTCCAGAATATGCCAATTCTGGCTTGCTAAACGAGAAGAGTGATGTTTACAGCTTTGGGGTATTGCTCCTTGAAGCAATTACAGGAAGAGACCCCGTGGATTATAGCCGACCAGCAGCCGAGGTATGTACATTCAGTCTCATTACTGTTATACAGACATGTTTGTTTCTCTTAGAAAGTGTATACATAATCAATCTTTTTCATCTCTAGTCGAAACGAGATTTCTAATGTTTTTAAGTTGAGTAGCATCTTTAGAAGTACTAAAATAAAACAGAGTCATAGATTTTACATAGGAATATTTGATTGAGTAATTGCCAAAGGAGCACTAGTATGTCTTAACATGAATTGTGTTTTAGAAAGAATGAAAAACATAAAACATATCGAATGGAACAGACAAAGACTTCATAATTTTTCTTTCTGTTCCAACAGTTTTGACTCTATGAAGTCATTGGACTTTCCTTAACACTATCAGGTCGATCTTGTAGGTAAATTTGGTCGACTGGCTGAAGATGATGGTAGGTTTTCGACGCTCAGAAGAGGTGTTGGATCCCAACATCGAGACCAGGCCATCGACAAGTGCTCTTAAACGAGCCCTCTTGACAGCTCTGAGATGTGTTGATCCAGATGCAGAAAAAAGACCAAGAATGAGCCAAGTCGTCCGCATGCTTGAATCAGAGGAATATCCTATACCACGAGAGGTTTGAGTTCTGAATCTCACCTCCAACAACACAGTATTTTTCCAATTTGGTTCTGTTACATGATGTTGTATTAGGTTCCTTGCAACAACATATAAAAAGATTAAACAAGACAAGGGAAAGTGTGCATGCAGAGAGCACAAAGAAAATGAAAACAAAAGGAAAAAGCAACATTTATTTTGAGACCCCTTTGGCTCTTTGAACTCATCACATGTTAAAAGTTTACATTTTGTGTTGTTTCTGAAACATTGTGAATGGCATTTCAGGATCGAAGACGCCGGAAGAGTCAGGCCGGAAACATGGAGGTGGAGACTCATTCTGATACAGACAAGAGTGACAATGCAGATTATAAGTCCAATGGCAGAAGGAACCAATGTGTGTAGCAGAGGCAGGCATCTCAAAGAATTTATGGAATGAAGAACACAAGTTAATGGTAAATTTTGCACTTTTGAGCTTTTGTAAAAGTTGTGATGGCTGCCACTTTATACATGAAAACATGGAGCAGGAACAGGTTTCTTTGGGATGGTTTATATACTTATTTGTTGTTATAGTTAGTTTGTAGATGTTAGATTGTAGATTATTGTTTATGGATAATGGTGGTTTGTACAGTTTCATTACTATTCTTTCCTATTGTCCTTTCACTAGTTTTTTGACCTGTCCATGTTAACTTAGATTATAATATTTGATTTCACTAAGAAAATAATGCAATCATTATTCATAATATATGTTCAAATTAGAGTACACAATGATGGTATGAAATAAAAATGTTTATGTAAATTATAGAAAATTCGAAGAATGTTGCATTACCTCAATTTTATATTGACATAAGAAGTCTTCTATTGATGATAAGTGTTTTTCTCAATATCTTTTATCTACCATTAATTCACTAATAATCTCAAAACATAATTTTGATATAGATAGTTTTTAATTGAAATAAAAGTTCAAATAAGAAAAATTGTATACCTTAGATGTATTGTAAAATAGGGTATGTATTTCATTTTAAATAGTTTTGAAGATTTTTTTATACAAATATATGTGATGTTTTTTAGTAGTTGTATATTATTAAAATAGGATATTATAAAAATTATATTCTTAATTATATAATCTTGATTCAAATTATACAATTTAAAATTATTTAAAATATATTTATTTAATTTACATATTTGAATTATGTAATTTCAAACTATATTCTAAATGATGTAATATGAAATAAGTAATATTGTTGTATAAGATGTTGTTATAAATCACTTAATAAAAATTTGATTTTGAATTGCATAATCCACATTTGATACAGTGTTTTGAATTATATAATTTAAAATTGTATTTTAGATTACATATTTTTATTATTTATAACTATGTTATAAATTACGTATTTTGAATATTGTTTTTTTTTGTTACATAATAAAAAAATATACAATACACTAGCCTGGCACTTTGGCGAGCTTGTATAGAGGAAAGAGTGTTGAGGTGGAGGACGAAAATCCCATCTTTTTAGTCTACCGGCTTTGATCTTTGACATTTATGAGTGGGCCTCATCTTTTTTTAAGCTTTTACTTCCTGCAACCACATAATTTCTTTTCACACCCCCAACTTTTTAAAATGATATATATTTTTTCTTCTTAACAGTGACTTCCAGTTTACATATTTCAAAAATTTCCTAGAATAAGCTTTTCGAAAAAGCATGAAATAAACTCTATATAAGCCTTTTAGAATAAAATTCCAAGAACAAATTTTTCAGAAGGCTTATAATATCTTTCGGATCAAATTTTACGAAATGGGTTTTTCAGAACAAATTTTCTGAAATATACGAATGCATTTTAGAAATATCTTTCTGAAACAAGTTTGTTTTCCCGCATTCTCTTGTATGATTATATTGAATGTACGACGAAATAGACATTTACAGAATATAATATAATGTTTTATTAGTTACGATGTGTAAAAAAAATTTAGTTAAGTATTTTCAAATAACATACTCCTCGCATGATGTTGTCGTGGGAGAAGATGCATTTACACTGCACATATTAATGTAAATAAATTTAATATTAAAAAATTATGAGTTGTGATAAATTATAAGTTTAAACAAATATTTTAAAAAATAACTTAAATTTCATAAACACAAAATCAAATTATAAACTGTTGTTTTATTATTAATATTTTTCTATCTAATAACTTTATTTTTATTACTACATTTTTAAAAAACAGTCAAATAAAACTTACTTTGCAAATAATTAGCAGATATATATGCAGTGTGAATAATGAGAAGATAATTAAAATATTGTATTTCAACACAATTATATGGTTTGAAGGAGAAGTTGAGATGCCCTACATGTGTAGGACCATGTACTAAAAGTTATGGATGGATTTGTTTGGTGAGTGGGGTGACCCTTATCCACTCATCCATTATTATCAAACTATTAGTACAAAATAATGTCAAGTCAAGTATTATCACTTTTACGCAAAGAGAACCCAAGCAAAAAGTTTTTTATTTTAGTTTCACTTAATATTTAAGTATTTCAACTTAAACAAAATGGGTTATATCATCAACCTTCTAATAATCATCTCTTCTTTTCCAAAATAATAATAGTGACTATAACTTTTAAATTGTTAACTTAAACCTTCTTATAAATATTTTCATTTAAACACTAGTAAAAATATAAAATTTAAAATATACTTAGAATCATCATATTCAGAGAGTTTAATTTACTTTACCTACATAATAATTTTAAATTTTCTAAAAAGTTGATGATAAATAGAGTTTCTAAAATTTTGAAATAGTGTTACCTGAAATGGCTAAACACAACAACCCTAAAGAGAAGGCCATGCTCAATTTAATAAGGGCTAGAATTGATTGGGCACGGTTGATGAAGGAGATTGGGAAAATCCTATTTACCAATTTTCTTTGGAAATTCAAAAACACAAAAATCAGGCAAATTTTATCAATAATATTGGGAATTAGAATCTCACGTCATTTTGGGAATGACTTCACCTTTCAACTCTGCGTTACTCTTAAAGTTATGTTTTCAAAGATGTTAAATCAATGAAAAAAATGTTCTATAAAACTAAAACTAACAACCTTACCTTTTATAAGAGTAAAATATCTTAACAAAAATATTTTTTCTATTTTTAAATAAAAAGAGACAAAATGGTAGTGAAAGATAATGTGAAATGAGTGTAAAAAAAAAATTGATATCAAAGTAACATCATCCTAAATCAATATTAATGAGAAAAAAAACCATATAATCTATATGGTTGTCTACTCCACAAACCAAAAACCATGTTTGTCTACTCCACAAACCAAAAACCATGTTTGTCTTTGGTCTAGACTATGGCTAGAACATATAATACATATTATCTATATGATACCATGAAGATATAAATAATAGTTTCTACTGGATCAATTTCTTAAAAAAAATTATCATATGTTAATAATATCTTTAATGTATAAGATTGGCTAGAACCAAGACAAACTTTCTAGTAAGCTTTATATAAGATCTGTACTAATGTACATTTTTACTTCACATATTTAAATAATATTGGATACATTCAACACATATAATTAGATATTTCAAACTTAGAATTAAATATAATTTTTTAGTAACATAATAGTTACACAATAACTTTCATAAATTTTATTAAAATAGAAAACACACTTACATTTAACTTATAATCTTATAAAATTAATTTTTAAGGAAAATATATATATATATATATATATCCTTTGTGTTGTTTCTGAAACATTGTGAATGGCATTTCAGGATCGAAGACGCCGGAAGAGTCAGGCCGGAAACATGGAGGTGGAGACTCATTCTGATACAGACAAGAGTGACAATGCAGATTATAAGTCCAATGGCAGAAGGAACCAATGTGTGTAGCAGAGGCAGGCATCTCAAAGAATTTATGGAATGAAGAACACAAGTTAATGGTAAATTTTGCACTTTTGAGCTTTTGTAAAAGTTGTGATGGCTGCCACTTTATACATGAAAACATGGAGCAGGAACAGGTTTCTTTGGGATGGTTTATATACTTATTTGTTGTTATAGTTAGTTTGTAGATGTTAGATTGTAGATTATTGTTTATGGATAATGGTGGTTTGTACAGTTTCATTACTATTCTTTCCTATTGTCCTTTCACTAGTTTTTTGACCTGTCCATGTTAACTTAGATTATAATATTTGATTTCACTAAGAAAATAATGCAATCATTATTCATAATATATGTTCAAATTAGAGTACACAATGATGGTATGAAATAAAAATGTTTATGTAAATTATAGAAAATTCGAAGAATGTTGCATTACCTCAATTTTATATTGACATAAGAAGTCTTCTATTGATGATAAGTGTTTTTCTCAATATCTTTTATCTACCATTAATTCACTAATAATCTCAAAACATAATTTTGATATAGATAGTTTTTAATTGAAATAAAAGTTCAAATAAGAAAAATTGTATACCTTAGATGTATTGTAAAATAGGGTATGTATTTCATTTTAAATAGTTTTGAAGATTTTTTTATACAAATATATGTGATGTTTTTTAGTAGTTGTATATTATTAAAATAGGATATTATAAAAATTATATTCTTAATTATATAATCTTGATTCAAATTATACAATTTAAAATTATTTAAAATATATTTATTTAATTTACATATTTGAATTATGTAATTTCAAACTATATTCTAAATGATGTAATATGAAATAAGTAATATTGTTGTATAAGATGTTGTTATAAATCACTTAATAAAAATTTGATTTTGAATTGCATAATCCACATTTGATACAGTGTTTTGAATTATATAATTTAAAATTGTATTTTAGATTACATATTTTTATTATTTATAACTATGTTATAAATTACGTATTTTGAATATTGTTTTTTTTTGTTACATAATAAAAAAATATACAATACACTAGCCTGGCACTTTGGCGAGCTTGTATAGAGGAAAGAGTGTTGAGGTGGAGGACGAAAATCCCATCTTTTTAGTCTACCGGCTTTGATCTTTGACATTTATGAGTGGGCCTCATCTTTTTTTAAGCTTTTACTTCCTGCAACCACATAATTTCTTTTCACACCCCCAACTTTTTAAAATGATATATATTTTTTCTTCTTAACAGTGACTTCCAGTTTACATATTTCAAAAATTTCCTAGAATAAGCTTTTCGAAAAAGCATGAAATAAACTCTATATAAGCCTTTTAGAATAAAATTCCAAGAACAAATTTTTCAGAAGGCTTATAATATCTTTCGGATCAAATTTTACGAAATGGGTTTTTCAGAACAAATTTTCTGAAATATACGAATGCATTTTAGAAATATCTTTCTGAAACAAGTTTGTTTTCCCGCATTCTCTTGTATGATTATATTGAATGTACGACGAAATAGACATTTACAGAATATAATATAATGTTTTATTAGTTACGATGTGTAAAAAAAATTAAGTTAAGTATTTTCAAATAACATACTCCTCGCATGATGTTGTCGTGGGAGAAGATGCATTTACACTGCACATATTAATGTAAATAAATTTAATATTAAAAAATTATGAGTTGTGATAAATTATAAGTTTAAACAAATATTTTAAAAAATAACTTAAATTTCATAAACACAAAATCAAATTATAAACTGTT